AACCCGTCCCGCGCCGGCGCAACCAGAAGCCCCTCTCCCTGAAACTCCAGGTCGCTGCTGCAGTTAATGCTTTCGCTGTAGCTGTGCTCCGCTCTGCGGAGCACGGGGTGGGGAGCGAAGGCCTTGCCTGGACCCAGAGGTTCAGCGAAGGCAGGGAGCAGGGCACAGACCCCTCGCACAGGCTGACGAGCCGGCGGAGACCCCGGGCTGCCCTGCATTTAGCCGTCGTGCTCTGAGCAGGGCTGCCCAGCAGCCCTCTCTCATTCCAGTCCGTTGGAGGTTATGGGGCTGCCCAGGTCTGTAAGGAGCCAACGCCTCAGCTGTCGGCCAGCTGGAGCTGCTGTCCCACCGTCAAACCTGCTGGGAGCAGAGGACTCCGAGCACCTTCCAGGCAGGGCTTTTTGTTCCAACTGAACACCCAACCAGCTCTGCTTGGCTCCCCAAATTCCCCCACAAATCCGTCTGAATGCAGCAACTCCTGTCTGTCCCTGCCCTAATGTACTGAGCCAGGGACTTCGTGCTGTTAAAATACCTGCGGGAGTGGCTGCAAAGGGACGGAGCCGAGCTCTGCCCGGGCTGCATTTCAGCTCGAGTTTGCAAAGCAGATGCTGTTGCAGACATCAGCTGCCAAAGCAGTTATGTTCCACTCTTCCCAAAACACAGCATTTTGAATTGTGCTCATCAAATGCCTAGCGCCAAAGCTCCTCCGGCTCTTGGGCTTTTGAGCTTTAGTGTCTGCAGGGATGCAAAATGCTTCGAGCAGGGCAGAGGGCAGGAATGAGCAGAGTGCCTGGCCGCGCTGCCAGCCTGGCTGCTGCCTGTCCCCGTGCTTTGTCTCGAGAGCGAAGTCTGGGAGCTCGCCTTGTGTTTTGCAGGAGGAGGGCTTGGAGTGGCAGCTGGTGAACCTTTTAACCGAGCTGTCTGCAGGACAGTACGTGCCAGTCTTTGCACACCATCGAATATCCTTGCAAATGCTCAGCACCATGACTGCCAGTGACCTGGAAAAGGTACGAGACAGCAGATACACAGTGCAGGATGAGACCGACTGCGCTGGGACGGAACCTGCCCTCGCTCTGAGCCCGGCCGTGCTCATGGCTATGCTCGTGGTCTGGCAGGAGGAGGGTTGGTGCTCCTGGTGTGTCACCTCCCAGCAGGGAGCGGTGCCAGTGCTGCTCTGTGCCCTGTCCGAGTGGGCCAGAGCTCTCCCAGATCGCTTGCAGGGTGAGCTGTAGCTTGGCTCTGTCTTTTGAGATCCCCCAAATGCTCGTTGTAGTAGAAACGGCACCAGGGGAATTCCCTTATCTGGCTTTGACACCTGGCAGAGGTGCTTCCCTTGGCATGGCTGGGTCTTCCCAGCGAGGCCCAAGAGTTTGTTCGCAGTGTCCCCTCGGGGACACGTGTCTCCTCCTTTCCCCTCCGAGAGCTAACAGCCCTGCTCTTGCACCGCAGATCGGCGTGACGGAGGCTGGTCTGCAGCGTGCCATCCTCAAGCGAGCTCAGGAGATCCTGGCTGTGGCCAAGACAATCCCAGGTACCATCAGTGCTTTTCTGCCCGGTCTCTGACACTCGCACCAGGTTCCCGAGCCTTGAATGGGGAGATCTGCGGGGCCAGATGCCTCCCTTTGGGGAGCGGAGCCATGCAGGGCTGGTGTGCGAGTAGGAGAGGCAGGGACCGCTGGCGGAGCTCGGGCTGCACTGTCAAGCCAGTCCCATCGACTTTCTTATTTATTGGAGCCCCGAGCTCCCATCTGCTCGCATGCGTGCCAGTGGGTGGGAAATGGGCAGCTCTCCTGGTGCTCAGACCTCCTGCTTGTGGTTGCAGAGCTGCTGAGGACGGTGGACGCTGAGGTCCCTGCAGCCCCAGAACCCAGCGCTCCCTTCGAGGAGCTTCCGAGCCCCGTGGTCCCGATGGCTCCACCACTGCAGTGGGACGAGAAGAAGTCGGAGTGCGTTGTCTGCATGGAGAAGGAGGTGAGACCCCGGCACATGCGTGATGCTGGAGCAGGGAGTGGAGTGAGGGCAGCATCCAGCACATCCCCCCGTATCTGTATCCCCAGCCTCGCCCTGGCCTGGACGCTCATCCCTCCAGCTCCCAAGGCTTAGGCATCGCAGCGGGGAGGGAGGCAGGGCCGGGCTGGGCTCCTTGAGGGCTTGGGAAGGAGCTTGCTGAGCTCCTGTGCCGGTCTGTCCGCACAGCAGCCGTGGGAGGCGTTCACAGGGCTGCTCCAGCCCTGACCCGTGTCCTTCCCTCAGCCCCATTGCACTCGTGCTCTCTGCAGAGCCCAGACCCTTGTGCACACACAGCCCTGGGCTGTGCCTGGGGATGGAGATCGGGGTGCACGGCTCTGCCTCCCACACTGTGACACCCCTGGGTGATCCCCGTCTCCTCCAGCCCCATTTCCTCCTGTGCTGGAGTACGGTGGTGCTGGGATGAGTGTCACGGGACAGCTACACCCTGTGTGTCCTCTCTTCTGTCTCTTCCCCAGACCCAGATGGTTTTCCTGCCCTGCGGCCATGTCTGCTGCTGCCAGACCTGCTGCGAGCAGCTGCACGCTTGCCCCCTGTGCCGCAAGGATATCACACAGCGCATCCGCATCTTCCACAGCGGCTAGGCAGGGCGGGGGAAGGCGAGGCTGCCCGGCACTGCCTCCATCACCCCTTCCTGGGGCGACGTCCCCCTTCTACGCCACCTCAGTGTTAAACAGACACTCGCACAGCATGCCCAGCACTGCCCTCCTTGTGCACGGTCCCGGGCTGGCTGCTGCTGCACCCAGGAGTCTCAGCACCCTCCACGTTCCCGATGACTTCTTAGCCTCTGCCTTGGGTTCCCTCTTCATCTACGTCCCCTCCTCCCGCCTGCCCGCCCAGCGTCCTCTTGCCTGGGAGCACTGGGTGATGGAACTGGGTGCAGCTGTGACCTTCCTCTCTGCCTGATGGACTTGCCTTCGGAAATGCCCCTTGCTCCGCAGGGACGCAGTGCCATCGCTGAGGCCACTGTGACTTTGCAGCTCCACCGCCGTGCCCGTGCTCCTGGCATCGAGCGGGGCTGCTCGGAGGTGGGTGAATCTCCCGTGGGAGGACCCGGCCAGGGGCATGTGGTGCTCTGGGATGCTGACAGTGCCTTGCACTTATGTCATGCCAAAGGTCCGGGGCTTCTGCTCGGGCAGCCCACGGGAGTGTCTCTGGGGCACTGGTGGGCTGCAGCCACGGGCAGCGGGTGCCAGGGCAGAGCGAGGAGCTCCCCGACCCCTAATTTGTCCTCCTGTTGTAGGGGAGAGTCTGCAACAGCCCCAGATCCAGGACTCGAGGGACCCGCTCTGGCCAGAGGAGCCCAGTGGGATCCCTCATCCAAAAAACACGTTGGGAGCAGAAAGCGTTGCTGCCACGCGACAGCCAGCGCAGGTCCAGCAGCGAGGGGGGGCTGGGGCTGGGGCTGCACCCAGTGCAGATCTGCATGGCCTCCGTGCAGCGGCGTGTGGGTAGTTCTCCATTGTCACTAATAAGTAACGATCCCAGAATTCTTTTGTCTCTGGACCTTGAGGTATAAAATGCAGAGATAAGCCCGGTGCTGCCGCAGCCCTTCCCCCAGGAGAAGCTATTAAAAAGCAGCTGGTTTCTGCTGGTAGTTGTTTGCTGCCTTTTTCCTTCTGGAAGCGGGAGGACGCTTGAAAGCCGGGGGCTGCAGAGCAATGGCAGAGCCGCCACGTGCCTGGCTGTTCCGGTGTCGCCTCCTCCTCCTATCCCTCGTCCCACCGGGAACATTTGAGGAGCTTGGACTTCTTCCAGGGAGCTGCACTCTGCAGCCCTGGGGACTTCCAGGCAGGGGCAGACCTCGGACTCTGCTGGGGCCACCTCACGTGTGCTACACCCGTGCAGCGCGTCCCCGCGGGGCACATGCGCGGCCTCATGGAGGTGGCCGGGCGGCTGGTGCACAGCCCTGTGTGCCGCCAGAAACCCTGGGGGACGTGCGACGGCGGCAGAGCCAGGCCGGCTCTGCGTGGCCCTGGCTGAGCCCTTTGGGGACAGCCCTGGGGATGTTTCCCTGCTGCAGCCTCTGTGTTCGTGTTGAGCTGCTGCTGCACGTAGGAGCTGGCAGGTCCCATCCAGGGACTTGCTGGGTGCTTGGGTGGGGACCTGGCAAGGGGGACCCACGGGCGCAGCTGGCGATTGGGGTACGGTGAGGGGAGCCCTGGCAGGGATGCCTGACCGAGGTCAGGGAGGCTCCCTCGCCTGTACCCCTCCCCGCTCCCCCGTGCCCGGCGGGGTGCAGGCAGCGGAGGGGCT